AATACTCCAAGTCCTGCATTGAGAATGTTACCAAACTCTAACAAAAAGTATACCTATCTAAGTTTTCCGGAAAAAAACTGTAAACTATTAAAACATTAAATTAACCAATTCTACACATTAACTAATTGATCAAGTAGTAATTAAAAGTAGGGATTCAAGATATCGAACAAATGTGGCCAATAGGTGGAAATGTAACTCACTGCACTACATGTATTGAATACCTTTAGTTACTTTACAGATGTGGATGAATGATGTGAAATATAATCAAGTGTTAAATCAGACTTTAGTTCCACCTGGAGTAAATTCACAAGCTACCCTGCAGTATACAAAGTCATTCAAACTAGCTGCACCTTTACCAGCTTTGAGAACACTTTAATGATCAATCATTATAAAACATATTCAGTGGCGGCCGGTCCATAGGGGCGCTAGGGGCGCCGCCCCACCTCTTCCCATATTAAAAAATAAAAATAAAAATAAAAATAAAAAATATATTTTAAAAAACATATATATTTTTATTTTTATTTTTAATGAACAAGGTAAATATTATATAATTGGTATCAGTAAAATTACTGATAAGTCACATGTTTCCTGCCTGGCCTTGCCCGTGTACCTTCTCTCGTCTGGGCGCTAAGAGAGGAGCCCTCAACCAGTGCAGCAGCAGCCACTAGCAGCTGACTGTTGCTATCTGTAACGTGTAAACTATGCCGCGAAAACATAATTTCAGCCAATCAGCGTTGTCAAATATGATGGTCACAGGGCTCCTACGTGAGCGCCCGGTGCAGTCTGTGAGTGGTTTGGACTCGTATCCAAGGAGACAAAACAGGAAGCTGTCATACACTCTGGAAGCTACCATTTAGCAGCTAATGAAAACTCCGTTTTTGACATAAAAATGGAATTATGGATCATCAATCATTTTTCAAAGTGACAGACACATTGGATTAATTTATGGATTAACCTTCAGCTGCGTTTTTCTCGTTTTTGATCAGAATTGTTATTCTGCAAAAGGTGAGCATATCTCCATGTTTTGCTACCTAAAGCTACGTCGTGTGATGTCTGTATTTGCTTCCGCTGTCGCGAGTTCTGATCGCTCAGTGATGATACTTATATTTCTAGAATATGTGGAATCTCAGTTTGTAAGCTTGTTTGTGCATATCCGATAAGTATATCGATTGATTTATACCTAGAGTGCGTTAGCATTTTTTCGCTCAGGGCTCATTTAGACGCTTCTTGTGAGACTTGTGTTTTGTTTCGGTAAACATGGTTCATATCATCAGTTCGATGCGTTTCCTCTGAGTAGGACACATGAATAGTTTATTACATTTTAAGAAGCCCTGAGACACAGTTTCGTGAGAAAAAAAACGGGGGGAAAAAGCCCCTTAACAGGTTAAATGGGAATTAAATCAGTGTTCCCAAAGCCCCGGTGTTCTGCAGTTTGTGTGGGCATACTGTACTGTTGCACAGTTTATGCTGTAGAAACTATGTCCAGGACAAGGTGTTTGGAAGTTTTGGAAGATTCATAGCTAACCACACTGAAGTTATGGAGGTATTGATCAGTCTTCTCATATTTTTAAGCCTCAAATTGTCCTTCTCCCCCCCTCCCCCCCTCTAACATCACCAGAAGTCATGATTTAAGGGGTCTTTTCTCAAAAAAAATTACCGGGGGAGCATCCCCCCGGACCCCTCTAGTATTGTTTGATCACCATTTCCACAGCCCCACCTAAAATATTTTCCACCAGCCACCACTGCATATCATATATATTATTCTGAAATGGACCAATCTGCACTCTCGCTAATTTAAGGTACATTTATTTCGGTCTCTAGGTTAACTTGTTCGTTTGTATTTTAACTCTGTGAACATTTCTCTGGCTTCCTGGCAGTGACCATAACATCTTGGCATGTGCTTTAGTTTGGAGTTAAATTTGATATGCTTCAGTACTTTGTAGTTCCTCATAGAGCATACATCTACACCAAGAGACAATGCAGTTGTTTTATGTCACTAGAGCGTCCACACAGCAGCGTTAAAAAAACCTTGGAGGTGGGCGTATCTGAAGCTTGTGGATTTTTTGCGAGCAACGCGACCAACAACCAATCACATGAATCTCCCGCCCCCGACATACGAAGCAAAAAAAGCCCGAAGTAAACTGGATATAAACTCCCCAAACAGGCGAAGACCTACCACTGTCTCTGCCACCTCCCTCCATGCCTGGCTCCTCCGGTTTGTATCCCGGTAGGTAAATAGGGACTGGTCATAAAGCACCGGGTGATTCCCTACCGCTAATTTCTCCTCCATTTTTTGGAATATGAGGAAATGAACTGCGGTATGTCACTCCCAGCTTACACGCGGTTTGATTGGCTAGCGCTTGAACTGTCAGATTTGCATAAACGGGATTTGATTGGCTGATGCTTCCACCTCAGCTTCAAAAATTGAACATTGCTCAACTTTTGAATCCGGGGTTGCGTTCGAATACTCCAAAAAAACAGCTCCTAAATTCTAACCCTATCGTCTATTCCTTGACCTCTGAGTGAAACGTCACGGGGTTAATGGATAGTGGATAGGAGAATTCAAAAGGATTTAGGAGAAGAGACTGCGGCACTTTAGAGAATCCGACTGCACTTTCACTATCCGACGTGTTTATGATGCGCCAGCAGAGGTCATAAATGTGCGCCTGCTGCTGTGGGGAAACTATGGAAACTACAGTTTTCTATACAGCGGACTACAACATGGATGTTTAATAAGAACGAGGGACTACTGTAAACTCAACTAGAGATTCTGCACCGTGCTCTGATGCTGTTGTTTTATGCTTTATGAACGGGGACAACAGAGAAACATATTCTTCATGACCAAAGTTGGAATTGAAATAAAAAAGGAAAGTGAAACTTATGCTCGTCACCCTCTCCCTCCGGTCCACATTAATACAAATGATCCCAATACGTATGATTGTATGAAAAGATCTTAAAATCAATACAAATGTATTTATTATAAACGTTAGTCCTTAACATCTATCACTGTGTATATCACCATTCAAACATCTTTTAAAAGTTGAACAAACCCCACACACAGTGGCGGCGCCAGGGTATGGCTGGGGTAGGCTACAGCCATACCAAGAAATGGCTTAGCCCCACCTTAGCCCCACCATGAAAAGTGATGTTAAAGTATGCAAATTCAATTAAATAATAAGCAAAATGCAAAATGTTGAGAACACGGATTGCGAAAATATACGGGTCGTATCCACAACACACAAACTGATCCTGCTGTAACAACAAGTGCACGTTACTGATGCAATATGGTTGAGACCATTCGGGCTTATAGAAGAGGCGTGTAAGGAATAGTCTAAGTAGTGGGGGAGTTTTAAACACTAAAGGTGTGGAAATTCTCTGGCGTTAAGTGCGGCCGCGGTCAGATCAAAATGCCTCCGAATGCAATTTGAATAGACCTACAGCCAATCAGAGCAATTCAACGTTGTCTGCGTCATGCCTTACTGATTGAGATCAATCGAAACCGCCATTCAGTATCCCTATTGGATCTTCAATGTGTACTATCATACGTCACGTTCACAGTGATCCCTTTTTATTTACAGATGTGCCGTTTTATTTCATACAGTTCCATTTTGATTGAGAAAGGGAAATAATCTAAACCTCACGTGTGGCATTTCACTGTTTCACGGGGGGCGATATAGCGTGTATGTAATTCAATTGCAAATACTGACTTGAGCACCACCACTGTATGGGTTAGCACTACCATAGATTACCCAACAAAAATACCCTGGCGCCGCCACTGCCCACACAGCTCAGTAAAGACTGTGAAATGTTGACTTTATTTGATCCTTTCAGTAAAAACTAACGTTCATATTTCTCTTTTTGATTATAATACTGATGAACGTTCAAAACAAAGCACTTTGGCAACTTACCACATACGTTTTAAAATGCTTAATAAGCACCGTAACTTTCATGATATCATTTCTCGTTCATAATCGGTTGTTTCCGTGAACGGCTGACTGTTGTGTGACGGCAAATGCTGCGGCTGCAAGGCATTGTGGGGCAGCATTTTCTCCTCTCCTTTCGGTTAGGGAGGTCCAGTGGTTCCTAGGCTAAAGGAGGTTATAAAGGAAGTTTGGAACCTCCTTTCCTGTTAATTTAGAGAATTCGAACGGCACTTATCATGGCTGCCACTGAGGGACTTCCGGGTCATTTCACTCCGTTAGGAAGGTTCCTAAGCTAAATGGACTATTCGAATGCAACCCAAGATGCCTGGAAATCTCCGCTGTGCTTCCCACAATGCAGTTCGGCGAAAAGTGAGGCAAAGTGACGTCACCCCATTCAAAGTGAAGGGGCAGAAGCGTTGGAAGATTTTTTTAACGCTGCTGTGTAGACGGGCCGTCCACACAGCAGCGGTAATATGTTCCAGAGATAACCATGTATCTTTAGATGATTTTTAAATGTTTATGATGAACTAGGATCCAGTATTTATTTAGGTGTTGAGGCAGTTCTCTTTAAGCTATGCTTTTAAAAAGCCTCTTGGATGAGCTTGAAAAAGCATCGGCACAAGGTTGAGATACGTGGTTCTCACAGGACAAAGCTACACACATATATGATCTCATAGAATCTGCATTGCTGCAGAATAAACAAACCAAGAGTATATAAAGGAGTTTAAAAAATCTACAAAATGCAACTTGTGCACTCATGCATCAGTAATACTATTCCACAAACAAATATATATAATATGGAACAATATACTGCACAGTTAACACTAGAGTACCCAAAACAACCTCACAAGTAAGGTTTTCAATGCAGGATGTTTATTGATTTATTTTTCTCTTTGTGGTATTATTATTTTTTCTTCAATAACTTTGTCTTGCTTGTTTTTAGATGCTTGCATATTTTCTAACTTTCTTATACATTACATGTTTTTGTAACCGTCTTACTGTGAGAGCAACTGAAAATAATGCCTGTTTGTACCTGTCCAGGTGATGAGGCTGGTTATGAAACAAAGGGAGGAGCTACAGACAGGGAGGAACGTTGAAAGTTAAAATAGGAAGTCAGACTGCCAGACTCCATTTCACACCTCGACAGAGCAGCAGGAGGAAAACAGGGTGAGTGTTAACAACAGAGTCTGCCGGGTTTTTAAGACATTCATCACTTACTCTGTTGAACTGTATGTCAGAAAATAATCTGTAAATACAAATGTATTTATTTCCTGCAGTCGAAAGTGACATCTTCAAATGTTGTGAACTTTTTTATCCATTTCCTGGTTTCTGAGCCATCAGAGTTACATAATATGTGACAGCCCAGCGCAGTCAACATGGAGAGCAGCCTGTCTGAAGTCTGACTGATTTGTTGTATTGAAACCAAGTTTATCATTATGATGGTTTAGATTGACATAATGTTATTGTGTTATTATAATGTGTGTGTGTGTGTGTGTGTGTGTGTGTGGTGTGTGTGTGTGTGTGTGTGTGTGTGTGTGTGTGTGTGTGTGTGTGTGTGTGTGTGTGTGTGTGTGTGTGTGTGTGTGTGTGTGTGTGTGTGTGTGTGTGTGTGTGTGTGGTTGTGTCTGTCTGTCTGTCTGTCTGTCTGTCTGTCTGTCTGTCTGTCTGTCTGTCTGTCTGTCTGTCTGTCTGTCTGTCTGTCTGTCTGTCTGCAGTGTTACTGGTTTATCTCTCAGATTGGAGATGAGTGACTCAAAAGATGAGGAAGAGGACAAATCTCCAGTCTCCAGCGGTCTGTGTCTGAAGAGGGACCGGTCTAAAGGGCAACCTCCGTACTTCAGTGATGAACCTGGACCCTCAGACACAAAGTAAGAGTCTGTTTCTACTGTAACCTGACCTGAAGTGGATTCAGTTTTATATTATCTGATCATTTAAACAGATCTTTTATAATTACACGAGGGCAGTAGAGTACAGAAACGATGTAGAGTATAGTATAATGATAGTAATAACCGGGTGAGCTGCATGTATCATTAGCAGATTTCATTTGTGCGAAGCGATAACATGTAGGTCAATGCGCAGACACCATTTTGTGCCTGGCAACACAAATCAAGTGAAGATGTGAAATTCATATCCCCCGTGTATTCACACAACTTGAACTTGATATATATATATATATATATATATATATATATATATATATATGTATATATGTATGTATATATATATATGTATATATGTATGTATATATATATATATGTATATATATATATATATACAGTGCAATAAGCTTCTTAGTGCAATAAGAAGCTACAGGGACGTTAATCTACGTCGGTAATATTAACTTTATTTAATACAACATTTACGGTACAAGATTTAATCATACAGCCCATGTAGTATAATATTTTACAAATGATGAATTACAGCAAACATGTGCAATATATCCATTACTACAGCTCCGTGGGCTGGCAGTAAGGCGATATGGGTCCGTTCTTATAGAGTGGCGAAGTCACGCCCATCTACTTCCGGTCCATGGGACCTTATTTCGGAAAAATAATGTATTGAAGTCAATGGAGAGAGAAAACGTATCTTTCGATCCCGTTTGAATTGTGCCATGAATTACACATATGATGTTTATCAATCTTAAAAAATCATTTCCATGTAAAAAAAGTCACAGTTTGTCATAAAACTGTTGAAATATAAGACTATGAAAAATACGTAACTAGAAAGACTACAAAGCCTCGCGTAAGTGATGTCACAATTGTTTTCCTCCACTAATGCGGCTTTCACACCAGCGCTTTTCCCTTTCTAGCTCCTAGCTAGAGCTTTTCTGGTTCAGCTCCGGTTTCCCTTTTCAGCTCCCGCTCTGTTCACACCGCCCAGCTGCCGCTGCTGCGTCATGACGTCACCGTTTACATCGCTGATTTTCTCCCCAACGGAGCTCACAACAACAACGGGGGGGGGGGGGGGGACTGCGTCGGGTCGATGATCGTGTTGCTTTTAATCATACGAAGCCAGATTAAATTAAATAACGACTTCTCCAACCTTATACTTTTCTCCAGAGTGCCGTGGTTCATTGTTTATTAATGTGTTTCAGCGGCATTTACCGACCGCTGCAGTGCTGGCTGCTCTTCCACGGGAGTTTATTCTCCCGTTAGCTCCGGGTTAGCTCACACGGCTCTAAAGTATTCACTGTCTGACTGTCACACAAGCAGCTGATACATATCACAGTCTGAATTGACGCTGTTTGGCATCACAACACTGTTATGAAAGTTTCTCTGGTATAACATGGGTGATGTTAGCATAGCAACCGAAGCTAAACTGACTACTTGCTAAGCCGTTTTCTACAGGCACATTTTACCGGCGTATTTTTCATTATTATTACTGCTTGTAGGCAGGCATGACGAGACTCTTCAGTCGACCCATGTTCAGGGGAGGTGGGTTTAGTTTCCTGCACGCCTCGACGTAAGAGAGACGTAAGCGACGCCGCCGGAGCTGGAAAAGCGCCGGTGTGAAAGGGGCATAAGAGATAGTTAAGATCAGCGCCATATAGATATAATCTATCTATATGGCGCTGGCTAAGATAAGATAACTTTAACAAGATGCCTGTGTGCTTAGTACCAGGTTGTTATTATACCAGCAATGGGTCTTGCTCGTTCTTTCGCTTCCCGTCTGATGAAAGGAGTGTCTGGATCAAGCTAGCTAGTAGCTAGCACGTTAGTTAGCATTACAGCCTTGTCATTTTTATTAGCCTTAACATGAAGTAACATTAAGTCACCCAAAATGTTAAAAAGTAAGAGTAGTAGTCATATTTCGTGAACCCTTTGAAGAGTACTGTCACCGGTGTGATCATTCTATAATACACAATTTAAGCCCGGGGGAGAAATGCTAACGCTAACGCTAGCATCGACGATCTTCTCTACTTCATGCTATCTGCACAAATGGTTGACATTAAACATTAAAACGACCAGGCAGTTCAGAGAGAATCAAAGGAAGGCAGGCAGGCAGCTTTGCATGATATTCTTCAGGACGTGTTTCATTGTGGTGATAGTGAGGGTAGTCAATCGTTTGGTTGACAAGACAGTAGTGACGGCCATCTTGGTGACGTGTGTGGTTGACCAGAGATGTAGTTCATTGAGCGTTTTCACACAAACAAATGTGTTACTTCACAGTTTTACGACACATTTTTTTTTTTTTTTACTTGCAAAATTATCTTTTAAATTGACAAACATCATATGTGTAATTCGTGGCACAATTCAAACGGGATCGAAAGATAATCTTTCTCTCTCCATTGACTTCAATACATAATTTTTCCGAAATAAGGTCCCATGGAGGTCCACCGGAAGGGGAGGGACTGCGCCACTCTTTTGTGCATCCATGGGTAAAGATAAACGCACGTAGTGCTGAACACATGGGCGTAGGAAGCATCCTGAATGTGGGGGGGGACATTTTTAACGGGGGGTGTGGGGGCGAAAAAAATATATAGATTTCCTGTATTCTGGTGCATTTTAACAGGTGGTTTGATACTTGTATGTGGCTATACTAGCATGAGGAAAATGATGGGTACATTTTGTAATTTCATCCAGTAGTAAAGAAAGGAAACATATTTGATTATTAATTCAGAGCTGTCTTTGAATTAATAAAAAGCAGTTTAAATGCCCATTTTTTGTACATTTATATACAACAATAAATATTTGAGTGCATTGAGAGATATTGTTGTGGAGAGTCATTTATATATAAATCGCAAAATACATTTGTGAATCCTTCTGTGAGCATTTATTAATATTGAGACTGATCTGACTCCATACAGATGTTAAGTTCAAATAAATGTTGCTCTTCTGTCTATATTGGTCATATGATGCCCCTTGACTGAAATGTTTCCTGTTCAATATCCCCACTGATTCCTTAAAATCCTGGGATGAGAGTCCACATCACAATTTACTCTCAACTGTCATTTCCCTTTCATCACTCACCTCAGCAATGGACCTCTCTCTCTGTCCCTGTATTCTGCCTCTGACTCACTCTCAAGTGCCTAGATGTCAAGAGAGGTGGTGAAGTGATAATTATTTATTGAGCAGTATACTCTTTCACATTGAATCATAACAAGTCATACTGAATGTAAATACAACTGACTCTAAAGTAATTCCCAGTCTGTGACATTGGACATTTTGAAGACTCAAAGTCCCAAGCAGTAGGTATCTCTCTACCATGACATAAAGACGAAACTCCTCTCCAGAAGTGAGACGCCGCCATCACTGTTAACTGATTAACTGCTACCAGCTGATGACTTACTTTCCTCTTCTTTGAAAAAAATGTTCTTATGTCCATGTTGTCTGGGGGAGAAAACATATCAAACCAAGAGATCGTCAGCTTTGATTTTCGCTGTATTAACCATTTCCCGAACATTTGGTGTGTGTGCCTTACCTCCGCTACCGGCATCGCTTCATACAACAGATCTGAGCTGTCCAACTATGACAACACTCCTTGAACATGCGCGCGCTATGTGAGAATCTGCCTTGGTACAAAGTAGCAGTGAAAACATGGTACGGAGTTTCATTGATTTGGGCATTCTCTCAATAAGCAAGTGGAATGGATTTAATTTGATAGTAAAGCACTGACACAAAGTGCGGCGAGTGGATAGACCGATTCACGGACTTTCCGCATAGTAAAAGTGGGGGGGTCTAAACTAATCATTTGAAAAAGTGGGGGGGACTTGTCCCACCCTCATATAATGGCTGCGACGCCCATGGCTGAACACGTAACATGAACGTGCCGGGCGGCGCGGTCCCGTGGGTTAGATGCGCGTTCATAATGCAGAGGGAAATAACTCACAGAATAACGTTATTAGCACATTTTTACAACTTGAGGAACGAATGTTTTTAATAAGGGCTATACAAGTGTTCATACTGGGTAGTTTATTTAGTTGGATAAAAAATTATCCAACGATTTACAGACCACTCTTTCCCCATGTAAGTCAATGGGAAAAAGTGTTTCCGGGCCTGGCAACCAAAAGGAAGTGTAGTACCGCCGTTTGGCCAGCACAAATATTTTCATCTGAGTCCGGCGCACTTCCTGGGGGCTTGTTTGTTACGTGAAAGGCTGGCAGAGGGTGCGGCCATAGCTCTGGGCATGGCTACTGGGTATCCCTACGTAGCGATACCCAAGAAGTAAACAATGGAAAATGAGAAATCTCCAACGAGGCGTTTTGAGGAGGTATTTTCTGTGTTAGAGTTTTACTCGCTACAGGGTGTATTTTGAGGGTTTTTGACTCTGCAGACCGTTTACATGCATAAAAACCTTCATAACACACAAGGGGACGGGTAATAACCGGAAGAGCATGACATGGGACCTTTAATAAGCGTTAAAACACCTTTCTTCCTGAGACTGATATTGTTGGACAGAGTATTTTAAGAGGATGGTAGACATGATATCAGCACTACTTCCAGTCAGTACTCCGGCAGCAGCATTTTTACACCTTGGAACTTCTTTAGAGTCTGGCCTTGATAGCTGGTCCAAAATATCCTTCAGCAAAGTGACACTCTGTCACTCTGGTTGCCCTCTTATGATGCTGCTGTCTTTTAATATATAACTATTCCTCTGCCGCTAATTCGTACCTCGCAGATTCTTCAGTCTCATCAGCCTCATCCTTCCATCAGTCCCAGTCAACGCCTCCAGCACACTTCCAGTGTCTGACTCCATATGATATTGTCCTGATGCTGTAAGGGTGATGCCCCATGATCACAAAATGACCCCTCTAAAGTCTGAGTGCCAAGGACCTCATATTATGTCTGTCATTAATGTTACATCACCCATTATAACAGTTTTCTTTCATTTTTTCTCTTCTCTTAACTGAATAGTCCTGTCTTTAAGTATAACCCAATGCAAAGACCTTTTCCTGCACCATTTTAAGGATACAAAAACAGGCATTTTTACTGTATGTGTTTGGAAAAATGACACAATCAATGGCCCAGAATTGTACTTTATAAACTATGAATCTTGTGGTGCTTGAAAAAATACACACTGGGCTAAGCCGGCCAGGTTATATATATATATATATATATATATATATATATATATATATATATATATATATATATATATATACATGCTTTTTTTGGAGCCCTTTTTTGCAATATTTATTAAAATGTCACTAGTTATTTAAACAAACCACTATCTGAGGATAATACAAGCAACCATAAAACGCCCTTTATCTAGAGAGCCATTGAAGCCCATGAAGAATTGATCCTTCCACAAATCTTTTCATCTGCTGTAATAATAATAAAGTTTGCCACGTGTTTCAAATTCAAGTTAAGGCACTATCTGTGCAGAACATTACAAATATTCTTCATTTGCAGTATTTTATTTTAAAAGTGTTCAGAAAGACTGCATCAATGATATGCTATATCTATATAATATCAATATTGTTATTAACTTCAATCAAAGTTAATTTAAATAGCGGGCAAGACTTTCCAAGGGGTAAAAATGCTGCTGCCGGACTACTGACTGGAAGTATTGCTGATATCATGTCTACCATCCTCTTAAAGTACTCTGTCCAACAATATCAGTCTCATGAAGAAAGGTGTTTTAACGCTGATTCAAAATACCAGAGAAACATGCATTCTTGTTCTCAGGAGGGGACATTGACAGAGGATTACTGGAAAAGTACACAGTAAGTACTTCATAGTACTTGTGGGAGTAGTTTCACTACTAGCCTAGTGTCAATCTCACGAAGAACTAATGGCAGAAAAAATAATAACAAACTGGAGAGACGGCTGAGTGACCGCAGTGCAGAATCGCTGTATAGTTGAAATCTCCAAACAATGTTGTCCATTTTAGACAGAACTATTATATTTACAGCCCTTAATAACATTCGTTTTCTGGGCTCAAAGTGTGTCTTGGCTGTTTTCATTGTGATCGCTAAATTCCCCTTGTTTATAATAATCACAGTTCCTTCAACAGGATACTGTAGTGATTCAAAGTGTGATTTTAGCATAGCCTACGAGTGCTTTTGTTTTGAAATCACTTCCGTGAGTTTCGTCTGCGCTCTTATTTTGTAAGGTAACTTCCGGTAGCAGAATATGAAAAAACTGTAGTTTTTTTGTTTCTGTTTTCTAGTGATTTTTGTTTTTGTTTTGAGAAGTAGAAAATGAAAATCATCCCGTTTTTTAAGTTTAGTAAATCCCTTTTTGACCATGATAAAGAAAAACGCCTTGTATTTCAATTTTGGTTTTTCAATTTAAAAACGAAAATCAAATATCCAGTCGTTTTTTGTTTTTGAATATCCATTTGTGAAAAGAAAATCCAATGACCAAAACATACACTGACCAATTCACAGCCAATTCCATGTTAATTGGGGTTATAATGCTATAGTGTACCAGATGAATACAGCTGATGTTATGAACCCAGACACAAAGCTTTGTGGTTTCATAATGATATGACTAACTAGCCGCTATCTACCTTATCATGAAGAAATATCATCTGGAGCAGGGGTGCCCAACCTTTTTTGAACCGAGAGCTACTTTTAAAGTTGCCAGTCTGCCGAGATCTACCAGTCCAAATAGAGAGACGTAGCCATTACTGACAGCCTACTACCAGGTAAATACACACTTCTACTTGTATAAAACTGACCTTTGTATGATTAATACTTCATAAAATACTGCAGATCCTTTATCTTACCTCTTTCTAATCTACACACGTATTTAACTGAAGTTACACAACAGTGTTATTGTCACAAACGAGCTGAGAACCAAAATGCAACACACGGGAAACCAGGGATAGTCGGTAACCAGCTTTATTATAGGCAAAGGGCTGGTCGGGGACAAACCGGCAGACAGTAGGCAAAGGGCTGGTCGGGGACAAACCGGCAGACAGTAGGCAAAGGGCTGGTCGGGGACAGGCGAGGGTTCCAGGAGAAAGCGAGACGGGAGACGCAGGTACAGGCAGGGTCAGGGTCAGGCGAGGCAGGCTGGTCAGGGGCAGACAGGGTCGAAACCGGGAGAGCAATCTGGAAGGTAATGCGGGAAAGACTGGCATGCTGCAAAGTACGATCTGGCACTGAGGTGAGCGTGAAGTGGGCCTATATACCAATGGAGCTGATGGGTGTAACAGTGAGAGAGAGAAACAGGGTGTGACTACCAGGTGACTAAGGAATGCTAATGCAGAAAATAGGTGAGTGAAGGAGCAGACTGTGACAGTTGTTGATACAGAGTTGGAGTTTATTCACACGTCACATACTACAGTGGGTAATGTTTTCAAGAAACATTGAACAGTGCTGCCACATATGACACAGGAAAAAAAGAAAATACTCTGAACCCTTTCTTTGCCATTATATAAAAATAGTGTTGCTACAAAAGTATAAATTAGTTTTACTAATAAGACAACTCAGATCTGAAGCTACACAGGAATCTGCTGCCAAAGTGCAATAAAAAAGACTAAATTAATAGAATCAAACCCTTTTTTTGTTGCATTTTAGTAGAGTATAAAAAGAAATGTCTTTAAAATAGGATGCAAGCAACACTAGTTTCTTAACCTGAATTGATAATAGACTATAATCAATTTAAGTTTGCATTCTTATACCATTTTGTACAATAATTATAATGAATCAGTTCAAACAAACTAAACTTACAGCTGATTAAGAACGGTATCTAACTTGAGTTTTTATTATATCAAAAACCTGTTGAAATGCTACTGTTATTTTTACTGTCCCCAAAAAGCGCGTCGGCAGCCTCCAGGAATGCTTCTTTCACAACTTCGCCGTCTTTGAAAGACTTCATGTGTTTCGCAAGAACGTGACTGACACGATAAGATGCTTTGGTAGCAGCCTTGCTCTTGTTGTTGGGCCTGGTGAAAATGGACTGCTGTGCATTTAGCTGTCCTTTCAGGTCCCTCACCTTTTGGGAGCGTAGGGCAGAATTAGGAGGGAATTCCGTCTCGTAGCGTTTGTGCACTGTTTCTAAATGCCGCTCCTAAATTACCCTTCTTCGATAAAGCCACGCTCGCATTGCAGATGAGACAAATGGACTTTGAATTGGAATAGATACAAAAATAATCATCCTCCCACTCGGAGTGAAAATTATATATTTTGGGCTTTTTTGCTTCTGCCATAATTGCGGTCTTGTGTGTGTGCGGACTGTCACTCCTGTTGCCACGGACAACGTCAGCGAAATAGTGCCCACTGCCCACCAGCCACACCCCGACACATGGGGTCACGCCGGCCAATCACAACGCTTTGATGCGTTCAAGTGCATTATTCTGGCACAGGAAGATTATGTTACTATAGTAGTACTGTATCATGTCTGTATCACCTTTTGTTTCATTTGTATTTTCTTTGGTTTTACACGCTCGAAAAAAATAAAATAAACTAAACTAAACTAAATGTTATAGGACATTAACGTCTATTTTTAGACACATCTCGCCATCGACTGGGAATCTCCGGACGATCTAGAGTTACAGACTTTTTTTAAATATCAATCTACAATTTTTCACCCTGCTATACCCTTGATGAGTATCAGCTCCACTAATGTAAAGTGCTATAAAGGATGTGTTCCTCTCCACAGAGGGAAGAGGAAGAGTCGTGTTCCTGTGGAGGAGCAGCTGTCCAGCTGTGCTCTGTGTCAGGACGTCCTGAAGGATCCAGTCTCTACTAGCTGTGGACACTGGTTCTGCAGACAGTGCATCACCTCATCCTGGGAGCAGGGACCTCCATCAGGATACTCCTGCTGTCCTCAGTGTGGAAAAAGATGCAGCCTTGTACAAAGTAAGAGGCCGAACAGATTCAAGGTTCAAGGCTTTTATTGGTCATACGAACATAGCTACAGTGTAGTTATGACCAGTGGTGTAGTGGGGATTTTTTTTACTGGGTGGACGCTATTTTAATTAGGTCATCCCAAACAATGCGCAGTGCACTCACAAAACGGGCACAGGTCTACAGAAACTACCGGTATGCTTAGTCCTACTTTAGTTACTGTACTGCAAAAAGCAGACGGCGCTGCGCTCAACACACACACACACACACACACACACACACACACACACACACACACACACACACACACACACACACACACACACACACAGACTCAAACCATGGACACTCCGGCACATAAGTTACATAAACAATTTATAGGCCTAAGTTGCATAAATGCTCTCTCTCTCTCTATCTCCACTTTCAAAATCTATTTCAAACTCATAACAAACAAACAAAATTCCCAAAGTTGTCCTGAAATTAACTTGTTAAATAAACAAAACGAAAAATATAGCCTACTTATGCAAACAACATTGAATCTGGACTTGAAATGATTCTGATTAGGCCAAGCCTACATGCATGGCGAATAAACGGATCTTGTATGCACACCGCTTCTGCATTATTCCTGGCATGCGCGCTCTCTCTCTCTCAATCAAGTTGCATAAATGCTTGAGCTACGTCATTGCAAACAAGCAGACACTCACAACAGGAAAGAATGAAACAGAGGAATCAATAAAACACGAACACAGAAATAGTTGAAATTAATCATTATTATTTAGTTGTGCAACACCAAACAACAATGGGGAAACATGACCTGCCCTCAAGCAATCATACAGCAATGCTCCCAACAAAGTACAAGAAACACAGATATAGGTTTCCTAAATGACACACGAACATGTTCCCTAATCATTTTTAACGCACACACATTGTCAGTTCTCTTAAACTTGGACATGTTCCAGATGTTGAAAGTTCATCATCTCATGACGTCTTTAGGAGTCTTGCAGGATATGAATTATCCAATTAACAAACTATATATACGTCTGCACATGAACGCACATACATTTCTTTACATTAACTGACACACCAACCTCAATGTTTTCCCTCTAACTCTATTATAATCTAAACATCCTCTTTGTCATCTCACTTTAAGTGAATAATCAGCAAAGAGACGATTAGCCTCTTGGCTCTGAAAACTGTAATTTAATAACATACCTAGTTACTATGACTAGGTCCAAGATTGATATAACATTCCCTCCTTTTATTAATTTAAGTTTCCAGATCATCCAATAAATACTCTTGCAAATAACCTTTTGAGATCCGCCCTGGAAAGTCCAAAATGACTTTCTGAAACATATTTATCAATTTTACTCAAGGCAGAAGTCACAGGGTTACCTGTCTTACTCACAAATAGCCACAAAAACACCTTTTTGATTATAACACAAAAAGTGGAAGAAAAGATAATTGGCGCTAATCTACTCCACTAAAATGGAAAATCATTAAAAAAACCTCAGTATGCTTAAAGGTACGGTAGGTAAGTTTGAGAAACCGGCTCGAGATCGCTAGAATTTGAAAATACACAACCGGAGAAAATCTGCCACTTCCTTACAGAGCCCCTCCTCCAACACACACGAACACGCACATGACCAATGAGAGCACGAGATAAGTTTGTGCACAGATGGAAGGCTGACAGGCAGGTAGGCCATCCAGTTATTTTAGCCAGGCCGGCTCAGATGATTGGTCGTGCTTTTTACAGTACTACGGCTTCCACAGATGATATTTTTTTATGGATTTTTTGTCAAAGCACTTAAGATATTCATTGCTATCGGGATGTTAAGAGCATTCCATGGAATATAACAAAAGGTGTATCTCGAGCCGGTTTCTCAAACTTACCTACCCCACCTTTAAGAGGAAAAAATCTATTTGTCCCATTCAAGTTTAACAAACTTACATACTGAAAAATCTTCCAAAACAATGAAGCAAACTCTTTCTGCTTCTGTTATATTGTCCAGTGAACACTTCTTCAGGGAGTGCACATTCCGATCTCCATGCGTAGCCTTTAGATGGAATATCTATCTTAGCCTTCATGCTGTGATGTCCCATCTCATAGCAACATCCCTTGATGACATCTGAAGCAACATCATTACCATTTGAATTGGACGGAACTGTAGTCAGAAAACTGAGACTTCTGTAAAAGAGCAGTTGACGGTAGATCTTCTTCTCTGGAGTGTTGAGATTACTAATATACTTGGCTGTAAATCATCTCAGAAGTTTTGGGTTTTGTTCTTCGTGTTGACCCAAACCCATAAGACAATAGCAGTGGAAGAATAGCTGGAAGTCATCCAGCTGCCTTCATTGATACTCCAGTCTGCCTCAGAATGATCCATCTTCCCTCCTCAAGATTGCAAGGGAAAGACAGCTTTGACCTGGGTAGAAAATAGCACTTGCATTCCGGGTTAACAGCCTACAGTCGACCACTAGGTCTAAGAGTCTTATCTATAATTTTTAAACTTCTTGAAACCATGAGATGTTGTTTGTGTTGTGTTTTTACTTACCCACAATTTCCTAAACACACAACAAACATCTCCTGCAACATTGTTCAGCCATGGTGCTGAAACCAATCAGATCCCAACTTCAAACAATACATTTAATCATACCTGTCTTAGCAGAACCCAATCGAAGCTTGACCATGTAGGAAAAAAGTTGTTTCATTTGCCCTCTGGACCATGTGAGGGTTAAAAGATTCACGTGACAAGAATTAAAAGACATCTGAAACCAATGTGTGACAGAAGAAATAATGAAAGATTTCACCTGGGATGGAAACAAAATGGTATCAAGTACATTTTAAAATGCACTTACTAAATGTAACAATAAACCCATTATACCCCTCCTGGAAACATTGTCCTCCAAACCACAGAGACCATGTTTCCCATATAAGATACATTAGAGTACCCATCTTCACATACATTGTTATTTCAAAGTCCTCAGTCTGACTAGCAGCCCGACCCGGGATCCCTGCTTTGTCGTCCTCCTGCGTCTCTCAGGTAGGACAGTAACAGGTAGCCATGGTGAATATCCATTGTCTGACGGTGGGCTGTTGTCCACAAAGTTTCTGATCTGTAGAAGTTCCTCTCTGCTATATTGTATAGCCAGGGTTGTAACGGAATACATGTAACGGCGTTACGTAATCAGAATACAAAAATCAAGTAACTGTATTCAGCTCGTGTTACATTTGAAAAACGAGTAATCTGATTACAGTTACTTTCGTAAACCTGAAGTGAATACATTTTGGATTACTTATTGGAATTATTGGTGGAAAGGTTTCCTCACAAAATGTAATTCATTACCGGCAGACCTGAGTGCAGAGAGAGAGAGAGAGAGAGAGAGAGAGAGATGCAGCGTGTCTGTGAGGCCCCGCAGATGAGCGAGAGATCTCTTTTAAAATATATTGAAAGTTAGAAATGGAGATGGTTCGATAGAATGTGCAAGATAACGTTTATGTAGCATTTCTTTATTGTTGAAATTATGACATTTCATAACGGGATCAAATCAAAGTGAATAGTCTGCTGCTGCTGAATGCATGGGGCAAGTGACTGGAAAAAGTTAAAAAAGTTATTACATCGTTTCAGATTAATAATAATTATTATTATTAATAATAATAATAATAATAATTAATAATAATAATAATAATGATTCACTCTATTTAGAGGCGCCTTTCACAGCACCCAAGGACACCTTACAATTCATAAAATATTCGAAGGAAAGGTTTAAGACAGTACAAAAGGACTGTAACAGGGAACATGTTGGGAAACAGGAGACATGTAGCACTACAGTGAGTAGGCTGATCTGAACAGGTGGGGAGAGAGGAGGGAGGGGAATTTGGTGATTGTGTCAGACTGTAGGATGTGAAGGGGGAGAGAGTTCCATAGTTTGGGAGCAGCTAAAAGCCAGAGCCCCCATCGTGACTATAGCCGTGGGGGGGGGACAGTTAGCAGGCCAGCAGAGGAGGAGCGGAGGGAGCGAGAGGGGGTGTAGGAGGTCAGCCAGATAGGTTGGGGCCAGGAGAGAGGAGAGAGAGGAGAGAGAGAGGAGAGAGAGAGAGGGGGTGTAGGAGGTCAGCCAGATAGGTTGGGGCCAGGTGAGAGAGAGAGGAGAGGAGAGAGAGAGAGGGGGTGTGGTCAGAGGATGGAGGTGATGGAGGTGATGAGGTCAGAGGATGGAAGTGATGGAGGTGATGAGGTCAGAGGATGGAGGTGATGGAGGTGATGAGGTCAGAGGATGGGGGTGATGTGGTCAGAGGATGGAGGTGATGAGGTCAGAGGATGGGGGTGATGTGGTCAGAGGATGGAGGTGATGTGGTCAGAGGATGGGGGTGATGTGGTCAGAGGATGGAGGTGATGAGGTCAGAGGATGGGGGTGATGTGGTCAGAGGATCGGGGTGATGTGGTCAGAGGATGGAGGTGATGAGGTCAGAGGATGGGGGTGATGTGGTCAGAGGATGGGGGTGATGTGGTCAGAGGATGGGGGTGATGTGGTCAGAGGATGGGGGTGTTGTGGTCAGAGGATGGGGGTGATGTGGTCAGGATTTGGTGCGGGTGATGATCCGGGCAGCAGAGTTCTGAATGATTTGAAGTTTATTGAGGAGTTTGATGGGAAGGCCTGAGAGCGTGGTATTACAATAGTCAATACGGGATGTGAGGAATGCATGAACCAGGACTTAAGTGCTGAGACAGGGAGGAGTCTGGAGAAGAATGCAGTCCGGGTGATGTTTTTTATGGGGGGTGCAGATGAGAGGGAGCTGTCCAGAATGACACCAAGATGTTGTGCTCTTGATAAGCCATTAAAACAGTAACATAAGTGTCTCCTGTTCATCTGTTATGGGAAAAGAAAGTATTCTAAAAGTAATCTGAAAGTAATCTGAATACTTTTTTAAGACACGTAACTGTATTCGGATTCGGATGACTTTCAGAGCCATGTATTCAGTATTCAGGAACTAATTACATTTACAAAGTAACCCTCCCAACCCTGTGTATAGCAGAGTTGGTGCGGTCGGCTCACATGTTGCGGACCAGGTTAAAAGCACACGGCAAAAAGTAAATAAACACTGAAAAAATGTGAGAAAAAGGCAAAGTTGGAGAGGAGCCAAAAGACAATGCAGCCATCTTCACCGGCGCATTCCTGTCAGCATCTTGACCTGGGCGCTGGGTGTCTACTCTTCCACAGAAACACTGTATAATCTGATCTCTTTTTCAAGGCTTTGATTTAAAAGTGTGTACACAAATATTTCACGTGGGACAGCAGTGTTTCCCTAAAGAATGCTTTCTGTCTTACTCAGACATTACTACATCAGCCCAGCACTTATATAACGTTTTTTTTAGTGTTGTAAAGTATAGACATAAAAATGTTTTATAAAAATCATGACATTTAAAACCCTGACTGTTTTTTTATTTTATTTTCATCATCAGATTCTCAAAATAATTTTCCTGATTCTCATGTTTCCTTCTCTTCCAGCAGATAGTGGTCTGCAGGAGGTTTTAGATGAACATAGGCTCAGTCTGAGGAGGAGATGTGAACATGTGACTGAAGGAACTGATCAAAGTGAAACCCTCCTCAACAGGATCTTCACTGAGCTCTACATCACACAAGGTCAGAGTGAAGAGGTTAATACCCAACATGAGGTGAGGCAGCTGGAGACAGCTTCCAAGAAGAAGCCCCTCCATGACACTCCAATCAAGTGCCAGGACATCTTTAAAGCCTTACCTGACCAACAGACTCTCATCAGAGCGGTCCTGACCAACGGAGTCGCTGGAGTTGGAAAAACCTTCTCAGTGCAGAAGTTCACTCTGGACTGGGCCGAGGGTTTGGGAAACCAAGATGTCAGTCTGGTGATCCCGCTCTCCTTCAGGGAGCTGAACCTGATCAAAGGTGAGCAGTACAGTCTTCTCAGGCTGCTCCATGTTTTCCATCCAACCTTACAGAAGGTCACAGCAGAGCAGCTGGCTGTCTGCAAAGTGCTGCTCATCTTTGACGGCCTGGATGAAAGCAGACTTTCTCTGGATTTCAGAAACAATGAGGTTGTGTCTGATGTCTCACAGCAGTCCTCAGTCAACGTGCTGCTGACAAACCTCATCCAGGGGAAGCTGCTTCCCTCGGCTCTCGTCTGGATAACTTCCAGACCTGCAGCGGCCAATCAGATCCCTCCTGAGTGTGTGGACAGGGTAACAGAAGTACGAGGCTTCACTGACGCCCAGAAGGAGGAGTACTTCAGGAGGAGATCGAGTGATGAAGACCTGTCCAGCAGAATCATCTCTCACATCAAGAGCTCCAGGAGCCTCCACATCATGTGTCTGATCCCAGTCTTCTGCTGGATCACTGCTGCTGTTCTGGACCACATGTTGACTACAGACCAGAGAGGAGAGCTGCCCCAGACCCTCACTGACATGTACTCACACTTCCTGCTGGTCCAGACCAAGAGGAAGAAGCAGAAGTATGAAGCGGGACATGAGACGAGTCCACAGCAGCTGACGGAGGCTGACAGGAAGCTTCTTCTGAAGCTGGGGAGGCTGGCGTTTGAACATCTGGAGAAAGGAGACATCATGTTCTACCAAGAAGACCTGCAGCGCTGTGGTCTTGATGTCACCGAGGCCTTGGTGCACTCAGGAGTTTGTACAGAGATCTTCAAAAGAGAGAGTGTGATCTTCCAGAAAACAGTCTACTGCTTTGTTCATCTGAGCGTCCAGGAGTTTCTGGCTGCAGTCTACATGTTGCACTGTTACACCAACAGGAACACAGAGGTACTGAAGGACTTCCTGCAGGGAGACTATAGCAACAGGTATAACAGAGATCAGGATTACCCATCACTGGATGTCTTCCTGAAGAGAGACTGGGATGAAGACAGGGATAGCAGTGATGATAGCAGTGATGATGATTACCCATCCCTGGATGTCTTCCTGAAGGGAGCCATGGAGAAATCCCTCAGAAGTGAAAATGGCCACCTGGACCTGTTTGTCCGCTTTCTCCACGGCCTCTCTCTGGAGTCCAACCAGAGACTCTTAGGAGGCCTGCTGGGTCGCACTGATAACAGTCCAGAAATCATCCAGAGAGCCATCAGCAACCTGAAGGAGATGAGAAGTGATAAAATCTCTCCTGACAGGAGCATCAACATCTTCCACTGTCTGACAGAGATGAAGGACCACTCAGTACATCAGAAGATCACAGAGTTCCTGAAGTCAGGGAACAGATCAGAGAAGGAACTCTCTGATATCCACTGCTCTGCTCTGGCCTACATGCTGCAGATGTCAGAGGAGGTTCTGGATGAGTTGGACCTGATGAAGTACAACACATCAGATGAGGGACGACGGAGACTGATTCCAGCTGTGAGGAACTGCAGGAAGGCCAAGTAAGTCCAGATGTGATTAACTTTATAAGCTAATTTGGATCAGAAGTTTCATTATTCAAATAAACACTTTAAAATGTTTGATGTTTTAAATACTTTGAGAGCGAAATTAAATGATCCTAATTATTCTATTTATTTATAATAATGTGACATTTTAAAGTGTTCTCCTCTTCATATTCCTTTGAGTGATGGAGGCGACATGTCAAACAAATGAAGGACTTTTTTCTCACAGCAGCATGTGATCACAACATACAGCAGTATTTACAGTTATCAGTGAATTCAGTTATTAATATATCATTGCAGTTTCTTCAACATTAAATCAGATCTGTTTTTACCACAATGCTTAAGAATTTAAAATAATGTCTGACAGGCTGACAATAAATATATAAAACTCTGTTATTAAATTAAATTGACATGATAGGTCAAAAGTTGTTCCATCAAATTCAGTAAGTTAATTAAATGTTTTTTCTGTTTTTATACTAACACGTGTTGTAATATATGTGTTATTATAGACTTTCTAACTGTGGACTCTCAGAGACTCATTGTGAAGTCGTAGCCTCAGCTCTGAAGTCTGAGCCCTCCCATCTGAGAGATCTGGACCTGAGTCAGAACGAGCTGCAGGATTCAGAAGTGGAGCTGCTGTATTCTGGACTAAAGAGTCCAAACTGCAGACTGGAGGCTCTCAGGTCAGTTCACTGACTGCAGTTCATATAGATCTGTTTGTATTTATCATTTTCAGAATTTGCCTGAAGACATTTTAATGGTTTTATTTTTTTTTCTGTATTTCCAAATGGAAATGGAATCCAAACTTTAAGAATAACAAAGATCAGAGAAGGTGAATGTGTGACGGAGAGTGTTTGAGCTTCCACAGACTCACTCTGTGCTCCATGAGTCAGTGAAGATGCTGTCAGTACTGATGAGCTGTGAGGGAGATGAAGGACCCGGTGGAATCTAGGGGTTACCCCTAATTTCCACTGGGTCCGTCTGCGTCGCGTTACGGCCACGTTACGGCCGCGTTACGGCCGTGTTACGGCCGCGTTACAGCCGCATTACGGCCGCGTTATGGCTGCGCCGCGGCGTTCGCAAACATCGCGGCCACTCTAGTCAATGGGTGCTATTCCACCACACGCGGCGCGTTACGGCTCAGAAGCGTCCCAGAAGCGTCTCGGTGCAGGACTCCTCTAAAATTAGGATGAATCCTATTTTTGACGCGACGCAGCCGTAAGGTAATGTCGGGCAAGCGTTAGAGCATCCGGGCCAGGCTCCTTCTCCTCCCCCCATCCCCCCGTAGTCTTTCAAGTAGGAGAATAAATGTCAGCGTTCTCCTCCGGTTTACAGGCACTGTAAATTATATATATAGAATAATTATGATGATGAATGCATTTGTTTATCACTAAAATACAGCAACACATCTTTGATTCATGTCGTTTATAACTGGAATATTACAGTTATTATTAACTGTGTCTGTAGTCTACAACACAACAAAATAGGAAATAACAACAATAAACACAATTTAAACAGACACAAAAATGAACCATTTAACTACGTAGCCTACTTACTTTCTGGTAGAAGTACAAATGTCCAGGATGACCAAATCAATAACAAAACTGCGAGCCTGCATGCACGACGCTCCGCTTCTGAAACGCGCCCGGTGGGTTATGACGCGAGAGGAGGTCGGACCAAAACCGCGGCGCAGCCGTAACGCGACGCAGACGGACCCGGTGGAAACTAGGGGTTAGCCTTCCGTAGCATGGCGATGCTAACCGGCGATAGACCCGTTGTTCCCCGCGAGCTGAGGAGAAGGAGACGGGGACGCCATGCTCGGGCAAAGCTGCGAGCCAGGAGGAGACGATACAGACCTGTCCTTACATCCATCATCATGGGGAATGTAAGATCTCTCCCTAACAAGATGTGGCGCTGACCCGACATCGGAGGGAGTATCGGGAGAGTAGTATCCTGGTGTTTACAGAGACGTGGCTAACGGAGCTAACCCCGGACACTAATGCTACACTGGATGGTTTTCATCTGCTGCAGGCGGACAGGACGAGAGAGAGCGGTAAGGGGAAAGGAGGAGGGCTGGCTGTGTTTGTGAACGATAGATGGATCCAGGGCACATCACTATTCTGAAAAGTATGTTCATGTGTATGCACTCAGTACTTGGTTGGGCCTCCTTTTGCATGCATTACTGCATCAATGCGGCGTGGCATGGAGGCGATCAGCCTGTGGCTCTGCTGAGGTGTGATGGAAGCCCAGGGTGCTTTGATAGCGACCTTCAGCTCGTCTGCGTTGTTGGCTCTCGTGTCTCTCATCTTCCTCTTGACAATACCCCATAGATTCTCTATAGGGTTCAGGTCAGGCCAGTTTGCTGGCCAATCAAGCACAGTAATTCCATGGTCACTAAACCAGGTCTTAGTACTTTTGGCAGTGTGGGCAGGTGCCAAGTCCTGCTGGAAAGTGAAATCAGCATCTCCATAAAGCTCGTCAGAAGAACGAAGCATGAAGTGCTCTGAAACGTCCTGGTAGACGGCTGCGTTGACTTTGGACTTGAGAAAACACAGAGGACCAACAGCAGCAGATGACATGGCTCCCCAAATCTTCACTGACTGTGGAAACTTCACACTGGACTTCAAGCAACTTGGATTGTGTGCCTCTCCACTCTTCCTCCAGACACTGGACCTTGATTTCCAAATGAAATGCAAAATGTACTTTCATCTGAAAAGAGGACTTTGGACCACTGAGCAATAGACCATCTCTTTTTCTCCTTAGGTTCAGGAGTGGCTTGACACGAGGAAGGCTCAGTTGTAGCCCACGTCCTGGATATGCCTGTGCGTGGTGGCTCTTGATGCACTGACTCCAGCCTCAGTCCACTCTGGATACGTCTGTGCGTGGTGGCTCTTGATGCACTGACTCCAGCCTCAGTCCACTCTGGATACGTCTGTGCGTGGTGGCTCTTGATGCACTGACTCCAGCCTCAGTCCACTCTGGATACGTCTGTGCGTGGTGGCTCTTGATGCACTGACTCCAGCCTCAGTCCACTCTGGATAGGTCTGTGCGTGGTGGCTCTTGATGCACTGACTCCAGCCTCAGTCCACTCCTTGTGAAGCTCCCCCACATTTTTGAATGGCCTTTGCTGACAATCCTCTCAAGGCTGCGGTTATCCCTGTTGCTTGTGCACCTTTTCCTACCACACTTTTTCCTTCCACTCAACTTTCTATGAATATGCTTGGATACAGCACTCTGTGAACAGCCAGCTTCTTTAGCAATGGCCTTTTGAGGCTTACCCTCCTTGTGGAGGGTGTCAATGACTGTCTTCTGGACAACTTTCAAGTCAGCAGTCTTCCCCATGATTGTGAAGCCTACTGAACCAGATTGAGAGACCATTTAAAGGCTGAGGAAACCTTAGCTGATTAGAGTGTGACACCGTGAGTCTACAATATTGAACTCTTTCACAATATTCTAATTTTCTGAGATACTGATTTTGGGGTTTTCATTAGCTGTAAGCCGTAATCACCAAGATTAAAACAAATAAAGCCTTGAAATATTTCACTTTGTGTGTAATGAATCCATATAATATGAGTTTCACTTTTTGAATTTAATTAATTAAATAAATGAACTTTTCCACGATATTCAAATGTATTGAGATGCACCTGTAGAGCTGTTAGCCGTTAGCATGAGGCCCCATTATTTACCTCGAGAACTCTTGCATGTTTTCTCCCCTCTGCCAATGCTGACGAGCAGTGGCGTTTTTATATGTACAAAAGTGGTGGGGCACAAAAAACTTAGATGTCTATATATAAGCTTCTGCAGTGACGTGCAGTGAGGTTCATGGCTGGTGAGGCACTGGCACTGACTCTTCAGGTTTACAAATATTATATTTTGACCTAAACCAAAATATAATATTATTTTCAAAAGCTTTTTTTGTCTGATGCTTCGATTAATTTTAAACAGACAGTTCAACAAAAGGATACCCAAAAAATGTAATTTTATCATTTAAATATTGAATTGTTCTCTCTTAGTAAGATCCCATTTTCAATAAAATTGCGGTCTTACCTTGACTTGAAGATGAAGTCCATTTGCCTATCCTTCTGGACAAACATTTCTATTACTTTTTTGTAAAAGTCCTCCTTATCTTCTTGTAGTTTCAAAAGTCTATCATAAATCTAATCGATAGATTTATGATAAAAAAATTATAAAAGTAGGGTAGACATGTGGATGTTATCCGGCTAATCAAAACGTGCATTTATCTAACAGGTACGTTTCCCACAGATCTTATTTCGAGCTATTTTCTAAAATGCTATGGAGAAATCTCATTGCTTTTTTGTGCTTACTTCCTGGTTTTAGGACGCGCCACTGCAGCTCTCTCGTCTCCTCTTCAAGCACCACACTTTTCGCGGCACACGTACTTACAGCCAATCAGCTCTGAATGATTTGAGATGACGTATGGTGGGGATGGTAGCTCCGTGCCCCTCTGGTCATTATTTTTTGCCACACACATTACATAGAAAAATACTCTGAGCATGCGCAGTGTAGTTTTTACAGTCACCGTTCACTTCACAGCGAGAGGAAGGGGCATCATCAGGTTTTGTCCCACATGGCTCTAAACAGCTCAATAGGCACACACTGTGACTGTAGACACACTAATTAGAAGAACACAGACTAAAACAGCAATGTACAGACGAATCAGATGATTAAACATGATCTTAAAATATATTTTATATATATATATATTTTTTTTTTTGCATTTTTGTAATCATTATTTGTAATACTTTCTGCTGACGAGGCATGTGACGTCATCAGCTCTACTAAGCAGACTGCAGACACAGCCCCCAAATGCTCTTCTCCTGATCTCTGGAGACTTCAGTCATGCCTCTCTCTCAAAAACTCTGCCCACTTTCAAACAATATGTTACCTGCAACACCAGAGACAATAAACCACTGGACCTACTGTACGCCAACACCAAGGATGCATACAGCTCATCCCCCCTTCCTCCCCTGGGCAGATCTGATCACAACCTGGTTCACCTCCTGTCTGTGTATCAACCTCTGGTCTACAGACAGCCGGTGCCCACACGCACCGTGAAGAAGTGGTCTGAGCTCACAGACACCTCTCACACCAGCTCCTGTTCCGCCCCCCCCCCCCCCCCCCACACGCGCTGACAACACCTCACAACCAACCAGGTGAGGAGGGAGCTGCAGAAGTGTAAAGGACACACCAAGCTGACACCAAAGAACACGTCCCGACAGACCCGACTGTTGTGTCGCCTCGCGTCTCCTGCGTCTTGGCCAAAAAGTCGCACTGGAACACACCGCAAAGACTTCAGCTGACGGCCAAGTAGCACGTACGCACTGCGCATGCGTGAGTGGCAATAACTCTCCTTACCAGCAGGTGGCGGTAGTGTGTATTCGTCATTCAAAAGAGGCAACCGGAAGACAGACTGCGTGATACATACAAACTTCAGATCTCTGAAGCAGAAGTAAACTATTTAAGCATTGTGGCTGGCAACCTTGAAGTACTGCTGCTACCACATTCCATGCATCAGTAATTATAATCCAAGATTATATTAATATACAACATCATCACACTGACAGGCAAATGATGACATCGTTACAAATGAGTGAACTGTCTGTTGAGGTTTCATTTTCCAGGGTCCTGTCCGTTAAATACTTGAAGAAGCTATTGTCCACCTCATGCAGGAAGTGTGGCAGCAAATTACGTGGCAACTGAGTTTCAGTTTCTTCATTCCAGATCGCCATGATGTAAAATAAATGTTTCTGCTGCTGGGATGTTACATGAATGTATAAATAATAATAACACCATGTAACCATGACAATAGTTTCAGAAAGGCTAAACAACAACAAACTATAACAAGTGTAGTTCACTGTCTTATTAAAAAAATTAAAATAACAAGAAAAATCATACACTGTTTAATTCACAATGAACCTTTAAAACACCTGAAACACATTTTATATTCTCCATCCTGCTTTTATAAAATAAATTATAAAGAAAATACATGAGTAGAATTGTTTTATATTCCTGTTAAAACTATCAACCACTAAGAAATCATTTCAGTTTGTTCTGTTTCCAACATGTTCCTGGATCTACATGATGTTTACACTGACTGAATAGTTTAAACTGAAGTAGCAGCACGTTGTCTTTAATATTAATGAGAGCTCTTTTCCTCTTTCTGTATCTCACAGTTTTTAACCTGTTTGGAGTTTCCACTTTCTAAACTTCTTCAGCTCTGAACAGATTATTAAACCTGGAGTTATTTCAAACAGGAACATTGTTTTCTAAAGTTACATCATGTTTTCTTTATTCAGTCTGAGGGGCTGCAGGTTGTCAGAGATCAGCTGTTCTGCTCTGGCCTCAGCTCTGAAGTCCAACATCCATCTGAGAGATCTGGACCTGAGAGACAACGCTCTGCAGGATTCAGATGAGAAGCTGCTGAGAGATCTTCTGGAGAGCCCAGACTGCAGACTGGAGACTCTCAGGTCAGTTCTCCATCTGTAACTTCTGTGCTGAGATGAATATGTGAGAGTTGTGTTGACTCTGAGCTGCAGACATCAGGCTGATATTACTCTGATCCTCACTGAGCATCTTAACCCTCTACAGTCTCAGCCCTTTGTTCATATTGTTGGTGTCCTGGTCTGCTTCAGTGAGAATGCTTGTAAAGCCTCAGCCCTGCACTGCACTCATGTTAAAAACATCTTTATTTTTAAGACAAACTAAGCTGTCAGGATGTTTCTGCTGCAGAGATGTTACATTAATGTGTACATAATAACAACAACATGTGACCATGTAATAGCTTCAGAAAGACTAAACAACAACAAACTATAACAAGTGTAGTTCACTGTCTATGGCAGAGCACTGATGATCTTTACATTAAAATAACAAGAACAATCCTACACTGCATAATTCACTCTGAACCTTTAAACACCTGAAATACATTTTATATTCTCCATCCTGCTTTTAGAAAATAAATTATAAAAAAATACAGAAATACAAAAAATATTTCTGTTAAAATTATCAAACAAGTATTTCCAGTTGTTGCTGTTTCCAACATGTTCCTGAAGCTACATGATGCTTTACTGACTGAATAGTTTACTCTGAAGAAGCTGTGATTTGATGACTCCACGGTTCCTAAAATACATATTCTGCATGTTTTTCTTCACATTTCAAATTCATCCTATTTGTGATCTTTGTAAACATTGTGATCTTGAGTTGAATCAGTTTCTGTGGTTTGTGTTGGTCTGCATGATTATTAAACCTTGAATTGTTTCCAACATGTTCCTGGATCTACATGATGTTTACACTGACTGAATAGTTTAAACTGAAGTAGCAGCACGTTGTCTTTAATATTAATGAGAGCTCTTTTCCTCTTTCTATATCTCACAGTTTTTAACCTGTTAGGAGTTTCCACTTTCTGAACTTCTTCAGCTCTGAACAGATTATTAAACCTGGAGTTATTTCAAACAGGAACATTGTTTTCTAAAGTTACATCATGTTTTCTTTATTCAGACTGAGGAGCTGCTGGTTGTCAGAGATCAGCTGTTCTGCTCTGGCCTCAGCTCTGAAGTCCAACATCCATCTGAGAGATCTGGACCTGAGTCAGAACGATCTGCAGGATTCAGGAGTGAAGCTGCTGAGAGATCTTCTGGAGAGTCCAGACTGCAGACTGGAGACTCTCAGGTCAGTTCTCCATCTTAACTTCTGTGCTGAGATGAATATGTGAGAGTTGTGTTGACTCTGAGCTGCAGACATCAGGCTGATATCACTCTGATCCTCACTGAGCATCTTAACCCTCTACAGTCTCAGCCCTTTGTTCATATTGTTGGTGTCCTGGTCTGCTTCAGTGAGAATGCTTGTAAAGCATCAGCCCTGCACTGCACTCATGTTATACACATCTTTCTTTTTAAGACAAACTAAGCTGTCAGGATGTTTCTGCTGCTGGGATGTTACATTAATGTATAAATAATAATAACACCATGTGACCATGCAATAGTTTCAGAAAGACTAAACAACAACAAACTATAACAAGTGTAGTTCACTGTCTGTGGCAGAGCACTGATGATCTTTACATTAAAATAACAAGAAAAACCCTACACTGCATAATTCACTCTGAACCTTTAAAACACCTGAAATACATTTTATATTCTCCATCCTGCTTTTATAATATAAATTATAAAGAAAATACATGAGTAGAATTGTTTTATATTCCTGTTAAAACTATCAACCACCAAGAAATCATTTCAGTTTGTTCTGTTTCCAACATGTTCCTGGATCTACATGATGTTTACACTGACTGAATAGTTTAAACTGAAGTAGCAGCACGTTGTCTTTAATATTAATGAGAGCTCTTTTCCTCTTTCTGTATCTCACAGTTTTTAACCTGTTTGGAGTTTCCACTTTCTGAACTTCTTCAGCTCTGAACAGATTATTAAACCTGGAGTTATTTCAAACAGGAACATTGTTTTCTAAAGTTACATCATGTTTTCTTTATTCAGTCTGATGGGTTGCAGTTTGTCAGAGATCAGCTGTTCTGCTCTGGTCTCAGCTCTGAAGTCCAACATCCATCTGAGAGATCTGGACCTGAGTCACAACTATCTGCAGGGTTCAGGAGTGGAGCTGCTGAGTGATCTTCTGGAGAGTCCAGACTGCAGACTGGAGACTCTCAGGTCAGTTCTCCATCTTTAACTTCTGTGCTGAGATGAATATGTGAGAGTTGTGTTGACTCTGAGCTGCAGACATCAGGCTGATATCACTCTGATCCTCACTGAGCATCTTAACCCTCTACAGTCTCAGCCCTTTGTTCATATTGTTGGTGTCCTGGTCTGCTTCAGTGAGAATGCTTGTAAAGCCTCAGCCCTGCACTGCACTCATGTTATACACATCTTTCTTTTTAAGACAAACTAAGCTGTCAGGATGTTTCTGCTGCAGGGATGTTACATTAATGTGTACATAATAACAACAACAACATGTGACCATGTAATAGCTTCAGAAAGACTAAACAACAACAAACTATAACAAGTGTAGTTCACTGTCTGTGGCAGAGCACTGATGATCTTTACATTAAAATAACAAGAAAAACCCTACACTGCATAATTCACTCTGAACCTTTAAAACACCTGAAATACATTTTATATTCTCCATCCTGCTTTTATAATATAAATTATAAAGAGAATACATGAGTAGAATTGTTTTATATTTCTGTTAAAACTATCAACCAATAAGAAATCATTTCAGTTTGTTCTGTTTCCAACATGTTCCTGGATCTACATGATGTTTACACTGACTGAATAGTTTAAACTGAAGTAGCAGCACGTTGTCTTTAATATTAATGAGAGCTCTTTTCCTCTTTCTGTATCTCACAGTTTTTAACCTGTTTGGAGTTTCCACTTTCTAAACTTCTTCAGCTCTGAACAGATTATTAAACCTGGAGTTATTTCAAACAGGAACATTGTTTTCTAAAGTTACATCATGTTTTCTTTATTCAGACTGAGGAACTGCTGGTTGTCAGAGATCAGCTGTTCTGCTCTGATCTCAGCTCTGAAGTCCAACATCCATCTGAGAGATCTGGACCTGAGAGACAACGATCTGCAGGATTCAGGAGTGAAGCTGCTGAGAGATCTTCTGGAGAGTCCAGACTGCAGACTGCAGACTCTCAGGTCAGTTCTCCATCTGTAACTTCTGTGCTGAGATGAATATGTGAGAGTTGTGTTGACTCTGAGCTGCAGACATCAGGCTGATATTACTCTGATCCTCACTGAGCATCTTAACCCTCTACAGTCTCAGCCCTTTGTTCATATTGTTGGTGTCCTGGTCTGCTTCAGTGAGAATGCTTGTAAAGCCTCAGCCCTGCACTGCACTCATGTTATAAACATCTTTCTTTTTAAGACAAACTAAGCTGTCAGGATGTTTCTCCTGCAGGGATGTTACATTAATGTGTACATAATAACAACAACATGTGACCATGTACAAGCTTCAGAAAGACTAAACAACAACAAACTATAACAAGTGTAGTTCACTGTCTGTGGCAGAGCACTGATGATCTTTACATTAAAATAACAAGAAAAACCCTACACTGCATAATTCACTCTGAACCTTTAAAACACCTGAGATACATTTTATATTCTCCATCCTGCTTTTATAATATAAATTATAAAGAAAATACATGATAAGAATTGTTTTATATTCCTGTTAAAACTATCAACCACTAAGAAATCATTTCAGTTTGTTCTGTTTCCAACATGTTCCTGGATCTACATGATGTTTACACTGACTGAATACTTTAAACTGAAGTAGAAGCACGTTGTCTTTAATATTACTGAGAGCTCTTTTCCTCTTTCTGTATCTCACAGTTTTTAACCTGTTAGGAGTTTCCACTTTCTAAACTTCTTCAGCTCTGAACAGATTATTAAACCTGGAGTTATTTCAAACAGGAACATTGTTTTCTAAAGTTACATCATGTTTTCTTTATTCAGACTGGAGGGCTGCAGGTTGTCAGAGATCAGCTGTTCTGCTCTGGCCTCAGCTCTGAAGTCCAACATCCATCTGAGAGATCTGGACCTGAGTTACAACGATCTGCAGGATTCAGGAGTGGAGCTGCTGAGAGATCTTCTGGAGAGTCCAGACTGCAGACTGGAGACTCTCAGGTCAGTAAGGGGTCTCTGCTGGTTCAGCAGTATTGTATGAAACACAGGGAGGTGTTTCTCTCACTGGGGAATCACAACAGATCAGTCATGTTACCACTGACTGCAGGCTCTTTCATTCTTCCATCAACTATATATTATATGCTGAAAATGCAAAGCCACATTTAGTTAGTAAGCAACTTTCTAACAGACATATAGGATTTTACAGAAGAGTGGAAAAGGTAGTCTGTTTTGTTTCCTGTCATGTTTTTAGTTTCTAATGACTGGTTACTTCCTGTAAGCTGAGAGCTGTGGCAGTCAGTCGTAGTGTTTGCAGAGAAGATATGATGGGATGTAAAGCATGAGATCAGGACTCTGAAGCTGACTCAAAGAACAAACACTTATTTTAAACTGGATCTAAAATGGTTGGGTTGTGTTCATCCCTACAGGATCAGAAATGGAGAGACGATCAGAGCCACGATCCAGAAGACCTGTGAGTACTGAAACCATATCCTCCATTCATCAGGATATTGTACATTCAATCTGATCTTAAAAGGTCTTTATAGTACAACAACAATATATTTTAATTCCATTTTGTTACAGCTCTATCAAATCATTTTGGCTGCTAATGTTTCTCTTTGTTCAAGTTTCATTATTATTATCTTTCTGTGTCACCTCTTCTCTCCATCAGGTGACTCCGATGTGGAACAGGAAGTGAAGACAGACAGAAAGGTGAGAGAGGAGCAGTTGAACAGAGAGAAGTGTATTTATTTCACCTCTGAATTAAAATATAATTGTTAGGGCTGTCAAGTTAAACAATAGAGCGCTCGTAATTGATCTAGAAACCTTAATGAGTCAAAAGAAAATCGGATGAACAAGTTCGTACATTTGTATTTACCGGAGAAATAGGAGATATTCCTGTCGACTATTGTCTGAGTTTATCTTTCAACTTAAAAACAATTCATAATGAAGGCTTTATAAAGACTGACATCATAAAGACATGTCGATTTATGTATTAAAATTGTTGTTATTGAGAAATGCAAGCCTACATAACCGCTGAGCGCTGTCAGGGATGAAGAGCAATTTGCACTGCAGCTGCTGAGCTGCTTACTAACTATGTGACCAGGTACGAGAGAAGATATAAATCACTATCCCTTCAAACAAGTCTGTTCTACTATACTAAAGTTTAGATTAATCACAGATCATCAATGTGATTAAAGCGATCACATGTTTTAATTGATTGAGACTGCTAGTAGTTGTTGGTAATAGTTTGATGGCTTCAAGACAATTCTTTGAGCTCAGGTTTATTTATTTACCGTTTATTTAATGTGAGTGTGTTTGAGACGAGCAGCGTGGAGGCATTTCAGAAAACCACTAACATGCAGCTGATGAGAGACTTTCTAAAGCAGCTATCATCAATATTACATTCACTGACTCAATAGCGTAAAGCTTTTTTTAAATGTGTTATTTTTTGTTATGAACTTTGTTTATTGAGTGTCAAACACAAATGGACAGGAAAGACAGAGCAGTTGGAATTGATAGTGTCACATTACAGTTGTGCAGATCATGACATACGATACATTACAACAACAAAACAAACAGTCGGCTTGGTCATTCAAGGTTTCAAGGTTTCAAGGTTTCAAGGGTTTTATGGTCATTTGTGCAGCAGCTACAGTGTGGCTATGACAATGAACATCTGAGGTCACAGGCTCCTCCAACAGAGCAACACAATAAACAGATACAAATAATACAAGTAAATAAAATAAAATAGAATATAATAGAAACAGAATATGATAGAAACTGTGCAGAATAGTCTATTTGGAATGTTGGTATATATGATAAATGTGAGTTGCAAACAGATGAATGTTATGATGTTGTTTCTAAGTTCAGGTGTTTAGCAGTCTTCTGGCCTGTGGGATGAAGCTGTCCCTGAGTCTGGTGGTTTTAGTCCGGATGCTGCGGTACCGCCTGCCAGACGGCAGCAGACAGAACAGTTTGTGGCTGGGGTGATGGGGGTCTTCTATAATCCTGAGGGATTTCTTCCTGAGCCGCTGGGAGTAGAGGTCCTCCATGGATGGCAGCTCCGTCCTGGTGATGTTCTGTGCAGTTTTCACCACCCTCTGTAAAGCCTTACGGTTGAGGGCGGTGCAGCTGCCGTACCAGGCCGTGATACAGCCAGTCAGGATGCTCTCTATGGTGCACCTGTAGAAGGTCAGGATCCCCTCTATGGTGCACCTGTAGAAGGTCAGGATCCTCAGTGATGAGTCCATGTCAGGTCCTCAGTGATGTGGACACCGAGGAACCTGAAGCTGCTGACTCTCCACCGTAGTCCCATTGATGGCGATGGGGGCGTGTCCCTCTCCCTGCTGCTTCCTGTAATCCACAATCAGCTCCTTGGTTTTGCTGATGTTGAGATGGAGGTTGTTATCCTGGCACCAAGATGTCAGGTTTCGACCTCCTCTCTGTACGCCGTCTCGTCATCGTCTGTGATCTGGCCGATGACGGTCGTGTCATCAGCAAACTTCACGATGGTGTTGGAGCTGTGTGTGGCCACGCAGTCATGAGTGAACAGGGAGTAGAGGAGAGGGCTGAGCACGCAGCCTTGAGGGGCTCCGCTGTTGAGGATCAGGGTGGAGGATGTGATGTTTCCCACCCTCACTGCCTGGGGTCTGCCCGTCAAGAAGTTCAGGATCCAGTCACAGAGGGCGCTGTTGAGCCCGAGATCTCTGAGCTTGATGGCCAGCTTGGAGGGCACAATGGTGTTGAATGCTGAACTGTAGTCAACGAACAGCATTCTCACATATGTGTTCCTGTGGTCCAGGTGTAAGAGGGCAGTGTGGATGGTGAGGGCTATGGCGTCGTCTGTGGACCTGTTTGTTCTGTAGGCAAACTGCAGGGGGTCCAGAGAGTCAGAATCAGAATACCTTTATTAGTCCCACAGAGGGGTAATTTGCATCGTTACAGCAGGAAAGAGCCACAGACATCTTAATGTTACCTATGTTAAGAAAAAAGTACTAAGTTATGATATAATAAAACCTAAAATTCGACAGACTGAATTTGACCCTATTACATAATTGTTGAACCTGAGCCTTGAAATTGAGTGTTGAATCAATCATGACTCCGAGGTACTTGTATTGTGACACCACCTGTAGCCTCTCCCCTGATACAAAAAGATCTGGCTCAACACAAGAGGACTTTGTTTTGGTGAAGAAGATGCATACTGTTTTACAAATATTTAGTTGCAAACAGCATTGTTCCAACCAAGTTGTTACATGAACCATGGAGTTTGTCAGTTCATTAGCCACTTGTGTCATATTGCTTCCATGTACATATATTACAGTGTCATCTGCATAGAGTGGCGCAGTCCCTCCCCTTCCGGTGGACCTCCATGGGACCTTATTTCGGAAAAAAGTATGTATTGAAGTCAATGGAGAGAGAAAGATTATCTTTCGATCCCGTTTGAATTGTGCCACGAATTACACATATGATGTTTGTCAATTTAAAAGATAATTTTGCAAGTCAACAAAAAAAAATGTGTCGTAAAACTGTGAAGTAACACATTTGTTTGTGTGAAACGCTCAATGAACTACATCTCTGTTCAACAACACACGTCACCAAGATGGCCGTCACTACTGTCTTGTCAACAAAACGATTGACTATCCTCACTATCACCACAATGAAACACGTCCTGAAGAATGTCATGCAAAGCTGCCTGCCTGCCTTCCTTTGATTCTCTCTGAACTGCCTGGTCGTTTTAATGTTTAATGTCAACCATTTGTGCAGATAGCATGAAGTAGAGAAGATCGCCGATGCTAACGTTAGCATTAGCATTTCTCCCCCGGGCTTAAATGGTGTATTATAGAATGATCACACCGGTGACAGTACTATTCAAAGGGTTCACGAAATATGACTACTACTCTTACTGTTTAACATTTTGGGTTACTTAATGTTACTTCATGTTAAGGCTAATAAAAATGACAAGGCTGTAATGCTAACTAACGTGCTAGCTACTAGCTAGGTAGCTAACTTGATCAAGCCACTCCTGGTCCTTTCATCAGACGGGAAGCAAAAGAACGAGCAAGACCCATTGCTGGTATAATAACAACCTGGTACTAAGCACACAGGCATCTTGTTAAAGTTATCTTATCTTAGCCAGCGCCATATAGATAGATTATATCTATATTGCGCTGATCTTGGGTATCTGAATGGTGGAGGAAAACAATTGTGACATCACTTACGCGACTCTGGGATTTGTAGTCTTTCTAGTTACGTATTTTTCATAGTCTTATATTTCAACAGTTTTACGACAAACTGTGACTTTTTTGACATGGAAATTATTTGTTAAGATTGACAAACATCATATGTGTAATTCATGGCACAATTCAAACGGGATCGAAAGATAAGTTTTCTCTCCCCATTGACTTCAATGCATAATTTTTCCGAAATAAGGTCCCATTACCCGGAAGTAAGTGGGCGTGACTTCGCCACTCTATACATTTGGATGTTTGTGTCAGGACATACAGATGGTAAATCATTGATATATAGCGAAAATAGTAATGGTCCCAGGATTGAACCTTGTGGGACCCCTGTCGAAAGACGAAGGTCAACAGATTCATAATTTTGAACTCTCACATACTGAGACCGGTTAAACAAATACGATTCTATCCATTTAAGTGTTTTTGATTTGATTTGTTCTGTGAAAAAACAGTTGGCGGTCTCTGTTGACTATTTGGCCCCCAAGCCAAACTGCACTGGATGCAGAGAAAATGTACTAGTGTTTAAATGGTCAATGATTTGCTCAGACACAAGTTTCTCAGCAACCTTTGACACCGTAGGAAGGATACTAATTGGACTGTAGTTACAGGAAGACATGGGGTCTCCACTTTTAAATATTGGGATAACTATAGCCGGCTTCCAAACACTTGGAAACATTCCCTGAGAGAAGGAGAGGTTAATCATTTTGGTAATAGGATAAGAAAGTGTTGTGCTGAGATCTTTTAGCATAACCATGTCCATGCCAAATATATAATTTGTTCTAGATGCTTTAAGAGATCCAATCACTTTTGTAGCTTCCGATTCAGTGATATTTCTTATGCTGAAAGCCGGCTCAATTGTATTAACATAACAAAAATGTGTGCAGTCAGGTGAGCAACACACTCTCACTCCCTAAGCGTCCAGGAGCGACGCTTGGTCAGGGTCCCGTGGCATCCAGTTGTGACGCGCCGAGGCTCCTTCAGCTTCATAAACGGACGCAAAGAGCTTTCAACTGATTGCAATGTATTCCCATCTGCGGCGGGATTTGACGCTTAAGGAAGCACGGCATTCGTTTGTGTCGGATTCCCATTCCCATTGGATAACGGAGAATTGTACACCCGGAAGTAAGTATTCCCCTTACTGTCGATTGATTTGACAGTGATATCTCCACTACTCATCAACTCAAAAACACCAGATTATCCTTGTTAATTACACAACATTGATAGGTTTTAGTGTGTGTACAATGCTTTTGTCACGTTTTCCCCTTTAATTCTGAGAAACAAGTCGTTTTCTATGAGTTTTGGATGGCCGAAGACATGACATTACCCGCTGTATTTACGCCATAACGGTGCACAGCTGATAGAAAGGGACACCTACTGGTTAAAGCACGTTATTGCATTTTATAATTTTATTATTAGAGATGAATAGGATCCCTATAAAGTATATTCTTTACTCGTCGTTATACTCTACTAATAGTTAATTAAAGACTGTATATAATGACTATTTTGCACATCCCATTCAAGATTTCAAGATTTTCTAAGGTTTATTGACATATCATATTATACACAACTACGGTGTAGTTATGCAATGAATGAAAAACTTGGGTCGCAGGTTCCTCAACAGTGCATTACAAGACATCTATCAATATGTGTGTACCTCCACCATAACATTGTCATATTCTGCACATTTCTTATACTATCTACATACATCTTATAAGAGTATAATACATATGTATAATATCAGTTAAAATAAGTGCTTAAACATAGTTAACATTGCAGGAAAGCAATATATTAGACGTTAAGTACTTTGTCAGGCTTAATATTTATCTGTAGATACAAATGTCACTGTGTGTGCTGTGTGCTCTGCATGTGTGACCATCAAAGAGGGTTTCATCTCTCCATATTCATCTTCTATACCCCCAAAGCTTTTTTCTTATTCAAAAGAAGACCTTAACCTAAAGTATTCTTTAATGTTTAAATAAAGCCTTATTAGTTTGTCTGTTTTGCACATCCTCCTATTAATATCTAATAATACAATTATAAAATGCAATAACGTGCTTTAACCAGTAGGTGTCCCTTTCTATCAGCTGTGCACCGTTATGGCGTAAATACAGCCTATCTACCAATTGGATCAAATATAAAAGTCAGCCGAATTAGTGTTGATACTACAAGGAGACGTATTGTGTGAAAAGAAATGTAAGATGTTGTTTAATTGCTGATATATTTATGATCCACGTCAAGTTTTCAGTTTTGGCGGCAGTTCCTGTTTGTCTAGAAGTGTTGTCATCAGGGCTCTATACATAGAGTTAACTACGGCAGATATGTCATATTTAATGCAGCCGAAACGTGTATTACAATGCCGTTATGTGATGACTTTCAAAGAGAAAAGCAAGCACACTCGGAATAATATATTATTTAATTTTGTTATACAGTCTATGGTTGCTACAGAGGATTGTGGCTAATGTAATGTCTTCGGCCATCCAAAACTCATAGAAAACGACTTGTTTCTCAGAATTGAAGGGGAAAACGTGACAAAAGCATTGTACACACACTAAAACCTATCAATGTCGTTTAATTAACAAGGATAATCTGGTGTTTTTGAGTTGATGAGTAGTGGAGATATCACTGTCAAATCGATCGACAGTAAGGGGAATACTTACTTCCGGGTGTACAATTCTCCGTTATCCAATGGGAATGGACGCTCACATTGCCTTTAACAGCCTCCGACACAAACGAATGCCATGCTTCCATGAGCGTCAAATACCGCCGCAGATGGGAATACATTGCAATCAGTTGAAAGCTCTTTGCGTCTGTTTATGAAGCTGAAGGAGCCTCGCGCGTCACAACTGGACGCCACGGGACCCTGACCAAGCGTCGCTCCCGGATGCTTAGGGAGTGAGAGTGTGTTGAGGTGAGAAACACTGTGCAATGGTTGCAACAGAATCGATGAAGTAGTGGTTTAAAACTTCAGCTACGTCAGCTGGATTGTTTATAAGCTTTCCATTGTCTTTAAGTTCAAGCTGTTTTCTTTCCCTATATTCATTTCCAGTGAATAGTTATGACTGTTTCCAGATCATTTTAGAATTAGTCCCTGCCTTGTCTATTATAATCTAGAAGAAGTCTGCCTTAGCCTTCCGTAACTTCTTAATGACTTTGTTCCTCAGCATAGCAAAGTGATGCCTGTCATGGCTTGATTTAGTTTTGATGGATTTGTTTTAGGACTAGATCACGTTCATTCATTAGTTTTAAAATATCCTCATTTATCCAAGGGACAGTGTTTTTCTTATTTTTTTGCTTGAATTTGCAATTGAAATCTCTGATAGTGCTCTCTAATGTTTTTGAGAACATTTGACTGTCTTCTTCGTGGTCTATTCCCAGCAAAAGATCATCC